GTTTTAACAGAGATGTTGATTTATACGGCGTCGTTACGTTGAGAAGGTACTCGCTGCAGAGCCAAATGGGAGGAGCTAGAGCTCTAGCTCCCCCTCGCTGGAGCTCCAGCTCCCCCTCGCTGGATCTAGTGGGCGGGGCTTAACACGTCATAGGTCCAGACGCAGGTAGAGTCCGTTCGAACTGTACAACCTGTATGGCACGGTAAGACATCTGAACTGTACTTTAAAGATAAACGGAACTTTGAGATGTATATAAAATCTAAATCTTACAAGAAGGTTGAGTCTATCTAAAATTACAGCCAATAATACATTTAAATTTACAATATAATAATATAAAAAAATACAACCAGCCTCTTGGAAATCATACATTCACATTTACATACAAAAATGGGCAGATTACATAAATTAGTCAAACGTTATGTTTATTATTATTATTATTATTATTATTATTATTATTATTATTATTATTATTATTATCTATTACATTAATTAATCAGATTATTCAGATTAGTTCACAAATAACCCACAGATTAATGTGGTGGACAAAAATTAAAGCAGGATGCACAGATAGTAAGCTTTCACATTGCCTACTTATCAAATATTTACATAAGTATTCACAGTGGGACATGGAATTGTACACATTGTATGACAATAAAGCATTATTAAAAAAGTATTTACGTAATTTCACAGAAACGATACTTAAAATATTTATATATAAATATATATATATAAATATATAAAATATTTAGATTAAAAAAAATATGCTTAAAATCATCAATCATAATCATTACCAATATTAGACAAAAATATCTATGCCAGCATATTGCGCAGCAACACAAGCATTTACTTCCATTACGGTTGAACTCGCACTAACATTAACAGACACTTGGTGGCGCTTGATAGCGCGTCAAGCCCCGCCCACTAGATCCAGCGAGGGGGAGCTAGAGCTCTAGCTCCTCCCATTTGGCTCTGCAGCGAGCACCACTTGGTTACGTTAGGCGTTTGAGTAATACGCAGTAAGTTTGACCCTCGTGGCTTTCTGTCGTATTGATGTGGCCAAGTCTCTCAGGTTCCACGTCATTCGGAAGGATCGGGATCTAACCAGACACGGATGCGCATATAAGAAAAGAGGGACCTGAGACCCATTTCAAAGGTAACCTAATACATTCGGAACATAACTGGAAAGCCAGTTTGCAAACATAAACGCATTTTTATTGTCACCTACCCCCGAACAACTGGTACTCTGACATATTAGTCGCGTTCTGTTAGCATGCTAGCTGCTAACGTTACTTCTTGAGCGGTCGACTGAGAATCCAATAAATAACATACTTGTGCTACGTTTTATGTTAGAATTTTGTAAGATCTGACACTTATATATATTGAATTATGATCTTGTTTGCATTTGTGCTGTACATGGCTGCAAGTAAACTGCAAGTTATTGGGTCATTAGCACATGCATCGTTTGCAATAACGTTATACTGTTTGGTTTATAAAGCGCTTTCTTTTATAATAACTTGTCTATTATTAAGAACATAACGGCAAACGATGTAACCGTCAATAAACAACCCAGACACCACGTGACCCAATGTGACGTGAGACTGACCATAAATACAACCACTAGTTTTATTTCAGCTAACTTTCTGTTAAAGGAAACCTCATCAGCATTCTCTGAGTGGAGTCTCCCGAAGGAAAGAAGAGCTGACATCATGACAGCAGCGGAGAATGTTTGTTACACCCTCATTAATGTCACCAACGACTCTGAACCTCCGTCAGAAGTCAGCTTGAAAACTGATTTAGGTAAGGTCTAAGTTAATCTTTACGTAAATATAGTTAGTTCTATTTGGATCACAGTCTTCACATTCACAACATCTCCCTACTCCAGAAACAAAGGAGAAGGTCTGAAAATATGCACATATATAGCCATTTTTACTGTTTTGTAACAATATAGCATAGTCACTGTTAACAATACTGATGTTAGAATTAACAATACTGATGTTAGATATGTACGGGGTTCACTTAAAGGCGTCCTCAAGGACATTACAGAAGGGCTATGCACATGTGCACAATTATCTTTCGTTAGCTCACTTTTAAATAGTATATTCATTAGTTTTTGTAAGCTCTGGTATTGTATTAACATTTGGAGTATATATGTTATACTGGGAGGTGTATTACAATACTTTATTTATCATTTCATGACAAATTCATGTTCAATGTTCGTGAGGGCAGGTAAATGTAACGTGCCGCAGGGGCGTGACTCCGCTGTCAAAAATATCAACCCCAGACCACAATCAATCTGTAATCTGTGTCGGAGAGCAAGATGTCAAAACTCTGTTGCTCCGTTAAAACTGTGATGTGATGGAACTGGGATCACATGACCATGGCGGAAGTAAAAACACTGGAATAACTATTAAATGGGCGAAACCCCTCGCCTCACGTAAACTTGCAAAACTGAATCCAAGTGTTTCTCAAACTTTTTTAGTCAAGCCCCCCTTTAAACCTTTAAAAGAATCTGGGCACCCCCAGATGTAAAATAATAATTATTTAATAATTAATTAATAATTATTTTAATGTAAAATAAATGTAACTACTCCTTAATGTTAAATAACTCATTATTTATAGGTTATTTAAGTGACAATTCGGTTACATGGTGTTAAGATATGATCCTTATGTACATGTGTGAGATGTACCATTGAGAGATGATTTGAGTTTATTAAAGAGGAGTTTCAGTCATTGAGAGCGTTTTGTTTTCCTGAGAGAGAGAGAGAGAGAGAGAGAGAGGGAGGAAAAAAACCCCTCACAGACTGAAGACGATGCTTATCGATCATCATCTTATCGTCAGGCTCAAGAAACATCGCAGATAAACTATTAGCTGTGCCCATTTCACATCTTGAAATGTATTTTAGCGTGAGAAATCGGGTTTGTAGCGTGAGAGATCACTCAAATGCGAGAGTCAAAAGCAGTTTCGCTCGTGAATCCATGTGAGTATGAATGCGGAACCACCGCTGCGGCTACCGTAGCCAAAGGCATTGTGGGAAATGGAGTTTTTCCCCCCGTTTTCGTTACGACCGCGCTATGGCAGAGATGGGCGATGACGTCAGAGCGCAGCGCTGGGTGTACAAATATGGCCGAGGCTTCGGCCTAGCTCCGGAGCTCTTACGCTTCTCATACGGCCGTGACTGGAATTCGCGGTGCTCTGCATTCGCTCGATAAGACGCACCAACTTTTCCCCCTCAGTTTTGGGGAAGAAAAAGTGCGTCTTATGAGCCGAAAAATACGGTAAATGTTTTGATTTATCTGTTTTAAATTTAGTGTGGCTAATAAACGTTAAATAAGTGGCTAATAAGAGAGTGAAAATGTTACAGACCATTAAGTTTTACAAACCTTTTTTCCTTCTAAACATCTTCCTTGCTGTATTTTCGATCTCAGAAAAAGGAGAAATCAAAGCCAAGACGGAGGCTTTGAAGAAGGTCATCATCATGATTCTGAATGGAGAAAAACTTCCAGGCCTCTTGATGACCATCATCCGCTTTGTGCTGCCTCTCCAAGACCACACAATCAAGAAACTACTCCTGGTTTTCTGGGAGATTGTTCCCAAAACTACTCCTGATGGAAAACTTCTTCAGGAGATGATTTTGGTCTGTGATGCCTACAGGAAGGTAAGGAGTTTGTGGAAAACGTGTTCTTATTTTTCTTAATCTGACCACTGCTTTGCCTAAACCCTCTATGTGTTGTGGTGACTTAGGATCTCCAGCATCCCAACGAGTTTATCCGTGGCTCTACCCTGCGCTTCTTGTGCAAGCTGAAGGAATCCGAGCTGCTGGAGCCCCTGATGCCAGCCATCCGTGCCTGTCTGGAGCATCGTCACAGTTATGTGCGACGCAACGCAGTGCTGGCCATCTACACCATCTACAGGTGCTTTGATGGATCTCTGTGTCAGTGTGGAAGAAGCATGGTTCTAAACGTCTCTTCAATCATGTTTTTTAGGAACTTTGAGCATTTGATCCCAGACGCTCCTGAGTTGATTCATGATTTCCTCGTCAATGAGAAAGATGCAAGCTGCAAGAGGAATGCTTTTATGATGCTTATTCATGCAGATCAGGTGTGAGCGTTGTTTAAAAAAATTGTTTTGCATGTGTACCATAAAAATGATAGAACTAGGGCGGTGCAATTAATCGCAATCTGAGGCATCAGGTCCAGAGCTGACGCCGCAAACCTTACACACAACGAATTTTGTGGTATTCCTACCACAGTACTGGGGGAAATGTAGTGACAAACCAGAAATGGTGGACATGCTGGTTTTTCTTTCAAAAAAGAGAGCAATCTGTTTTTGGTTTTGATTTCATTTATTGTTTCAACTGGAATTCAGGTTAGTTCAGCTTTACTTTTCCACGTTGTATGTTTTTAAGATAATTTATTACAGATTTATTGATCAAAAGCAGTTGTACGGCTGTGCACAGTTTGTACTATTAACTAGAGTTGAGGTTCGTTAATCATAAATTTTTTTAAATTGTCTGTTTTAAAGACCATTACTACAGTTTTGTAATGCAATGAATACATTTAAAATCTATGTATGTAGCTTGTTTAAAAAAAAAGTGGCCAAAAATCACAAAATTCGTTAATAAAAAACACAATATGATTATTTGGTCCTTATTGCATAGCCCTAGTTTGAACCTTCACACTATCCAGATTATTATTATTTATTCATATTTAATCAACTTTGTGTTAGACTTGCATTGTGCGTTAAAGATGTGGTTTTCTCCCTTAAGTATACTTAATTTAGTTTACTTTAGTGTGCAATGGCTTTTTTTCTTTGCAGGATCGAGCTCTCGACTACCTTAGCACTTGTATTGATCAGGTGCACACTTTTGGAGACATTTTGCAGCTTGTCATTGTGGAGCTGATTTATAAGGTAAGCTTTGCAAAGCAATTTAATCATTACATTTACACAAATGCTTTTATCCAAAGCGACTTACATTTGAATGATTTTTGTCAGTTCCTGCTTTTGCCCTGGGATTTGAACCCATGACCTTTGCGCTGTGGGCGTAATGCCCTACCACTTCAGCCACAGGAAAGCTGGAAAGCACAGGATCAATATCTGAGAAGCAGTTTTTGGGGGGAAAGTCATTTTCCAAGGGAAAGAGTAGCTTGCAGCAGATGTGATCACCAGTTGTTGTTGACCCTCGTAATTGTGGTCTACTGCTGCAAACCATTTTCAAATGTGCAGAAATTCCAGCATCTCAAGCTTGTCCTGTAGAGCCTTGACCATCTTCATTTTTAACTGTTCTGTGTGAACTCTGAGGGAGCTTTCACACCTGACTTTGATTCTTTTTTAAACTAGAGTTCGACTTTCCTTTTAGTTTGTATCGTTTGCATTTGGGCAGGTGAGAAAGCAGCAAATGAACTTAAAATGGGACTAAAGAAGCGGTCCCGGTACGAATCCAAACAAACTCTAGAGCTATGATCCGAACTGAAAAACAAATGAAGGCGACAACAAATATTGGTCGCATAAATTCACCATACTTTCATGCGCATGGTATTATTGGTTGGCGTTTATCTTGGCAGTAGTTTGGAATTTACGCAATTAACACAAATGATATTGTAAAAGTGTTTAAATCAAGCTGTTTAAATTGATTTTTTTCCCTGAAACCCCTATTTAAAATCAATCTGCTGAAAACAAAGAAAATTCTCAAAACAAACAATTGCTTTGATAATAATATTATGATTAACAAAAGTGCTGTAATAATTTTAAATCATACAATTTGGTCTACCGTATTTTTCGCCATATAAGATGCACCCAATTTGAAATGAGGAAGATCTAGAAAAAAAAAGATTCTGAACCAAATACTGTAGTATAATATTTTATCTCAACTGTGTAAAAGTTAACAGCAGTTTAAGAACAATTATATGCCAAACATGAACAGTCAGTAAACAGTAAAAGTAACAAAAAAAGGCTGTAATGTTTTTATTCGAACCCCAATAATTCCTCTTCGTCACTGCTATCAGAAATGAGGAAGGACAGATCCACGCAGTCATTGTCATCACTTTCTTCCTCACTGGTGTCAAATAAGATGTTGTCTTCTGTTCCATCCAAGGCATTACTAATGCCACACTTCTTAAATGATTTTATAACAATGTCCTCCTTCACGGAGTCTTACGCGCTATGGTAGGATCGACGAGCAGAGATGGGCGATGACGTTAGCGCGCACCGCTAGGTGTACAAATATGGCCGACGGCTCCGGAGTGTGATGGGAATTTTCCTATATAATACTACCATCTAGTGGTCTTTTAGAGAAATGTAATTTGAGAAACTTTTAAGAGCACACATCATACTTTAGTCCTGCCCCTTGAGGAGGCTCGAGGTTCTTCTTCCAATGCGGATAACACGTGTGCAGGAAATGTGTTGAGACTGCTAAATCTTTACAATAAATAGCCGCATTTGCTGTGTTCTCTCTCAAATGGTCTCCAGTGTTTATTATCAATTGAGAAAGTATATTTTTACCATAACAGGAGCTAGGCCGAAGCCGCGGCCTCTCTTACGCCTCTCCTACGGCCGTGACCGCCCTCCGCGGCGCTCTGCATTCGCCGTACGAGACGCACCAACTTTTCCTCCTCAGTTTTGGGGAAGAAAAAGTGTGTCTTATACAGCGAAAAATATGGTAATTGTTGTCCAATGAAATCGGTCTGTTGGTTAATCCACTAGTGGCAACCCATTGCATCCCAGTTCCGGTAGAAAAATGCATTGCATTGGGATTTATTCAGTAAATTTTTTCTTATGGAATGAAAGGTTGCGTAAAAAATATATTTAAAAAAGGGCATTTTCAAAATGTATGTGCATCTTGGTGTTTCCATCCAGGGTCTTTTTACGTGATACTCCAAAATGCTCATAAAAATATGTGTACGCTGCTTGTTAGTGATACTGGAAAAATGAACAGATCTGGAAAAATTGAGCTCCCTGCTGTGTGAACGGAGCCATACTCTCATAACCTAATCTGTCAACTTTGCTAATAATCAGCTTGAAATCATTGTGCTTTTGAATGAATACATTTTTTTCTTCAGGTCTGTCATGCAAACCCCTCAGAGCGAGCTCGTTTCATCCGTTGTATTTACAACCTGCTTCAGTCTTCGAGTCCGGCTGTTAAATATGAAGCTGCTGGTACTCTGGTAACTCTCTCAAGTGCTCCGACTGCCATCAAGGTATAGCGCTCCTCCTATCTCCCCCCTCCAAACAAGCTTCTCATGGTTCAAATAATGATCTATTTTAATGTTTCTGGATTCCAGGCTGCCGCTCAGTGCTACATTGATCTAATTATTAAAGAGAGTGACAATAATGTTAAGCTGATTGTTCTGGACCGGCTGATTGAGCTGAAAGAGCACCCCACTCATGAACGCGTGCTGCAGGTACTCAAGTTAATTTCCTAACTGGACTTCATTACAATGCAGCAGAAGTTTAAGATGGATGCTACTTTTTTTATCGTAGGACCTGGTGATGGATATTCTGAGGGTTTTGACCACTCCTGATCTTGAGGTCCGCAAGAAGACTTTACAGTTGGCGCTGGATTTGGTGTCATCACGGAATGTTGAGGAGGTCAGTCGAAGATGGTTTTGGTCTAAATGGAGAATTTCAGTGGAATTGGGATGTTTTGTGATGTAAGCTCTAAGGATATGTGCTATTTTATTTTGCTTTTGAAACAATGTTTGTTCAGCTTAAATCACGTTTGGCTAAAGCTACAACTAAGGATTTTATTTTTCGGTAAATTGCACCCAACATTAAATACCAAACGTTATATTAACAATTATTGAATGTTGTATAGTGACCACAAATCAGCCTCTGCGTTATGAATTTTTTTTAATTGAAACAATTGGATTGCTTCACAATTTGGGGGGATTTCCCCAGTCTTTGTTTGTTGTCTTTGAAGTCATCAAATTTGTGACATCAACAGCTGTGACCTCATCTGCATAACCTCTATATTTGTGCATTGAGCCCAAAAGAATGTAGAATTCTATTGTAATTGCTCAGAGTATTATGGTTTTTGTGGCTTTCAGTGCAAGGTTAGAAACAGTCTCGCACTGGGGGACTTGGTAACATTTCGCACAGGTTAGAAATGGTAAAAATTTACAGCTGAGCATATTTGCATCGTAATTTACTGCATCAGTTTTATCGCCACTAGGTGGCAACGGTAAACGCATCAATTAAGATTGATGATATACCTCATTTACCATATTTGTCATGTGTGACAAATTTGGCAAGGTCCCAAACAATAACAGGAAAGTTTTAAGTCTTAGTCATTGTGCCATGTTATGGTCATAACGCATTTTTGCTTGATTAAATCTCCTAATTTAGGATTGGTCATAGTGCAACAAATTGGTCAAGCGGCTAATGCTGCCTGAGGTGCTCGAGCTCTTCGATCACTGCTTGCAGCTTTAATTTAATTGTTAATCTGTCTTTCAATGTTGAAACTAATTAACTAAACTCTTTAAGATTAGCCCCTCTCTCCTAAATTGTTCTTTTCAGTTAATATTACTTTATAGATGACCCTATTTTGCCAAATGTTGCTTAACTCTTTCATACTCCTTATTTTACTCATCCCTTCTTTAAACAGGTTTTCCGTCTAAAATCGAAAACCCAAATTTTAGGGCTTTAAAAGTCTTTAATTTAATTATATTTGCTGTTTCTAGGTTTTAAATTATTTTTCACAGTTCTTTATTTTCCAACACACTTCAGAATGCGTTTACTTAAGACAGACTCCCAGCATGTACCACACTCACAATGTATTCGCTCATGAGACAAACCTCTTTATAAAAGACTTTTGAAATTTGCAAAATTAAGAAATCCATAATTTCATGTCGTCAGTGTATATATAGCTCTGAATAAGTTATTGTAAATCTAAAAAAAATGGCTCATGTTTAATTTAGGCTCATGACCTTAACGATTCACTGCATAGCCTCATGTTTGACCCATGTTTATATATTTAGAAAATCACAAACGACCAGAAGTTCTGCATTTGCTGATTCTTCATAACCATTCGGTTCCAAACAAAACATTCACTTCAAATTTATTCTGTTCCTTTAGCGTTGGGACTTGTTTTTAATCTTTATAAGATGCTGGGGGAGCTTATCTTTTACCATCTGTTCACAATTTTCCAAGATTTTATAGTTAATTTATGGCAGTCTTAAATTTGATTCGTAATGGTATTAAAAGGGTCTTTAAAACTCTCAAAACTATTATGTTTGAATTGGAAATATGTAAATACTTGAACATCAATTTGAAGGGAACTAAATTTCTCTCTTTCTTCCACACAGCTGGTTATCGTGCTTAAGAAAGAAGTTATCAAAACCAACAATGTGACCGAGCACGAGGACACAGACAAATACAGGCAGCTGCTGGTTCGCACTCTTCACTCCTGTAGCGTACGCTTCCCAGACATGGCAGCCAATGTTATTCCTGTGGTATGTATAAAATTCCTCCATACCGTTTAGCTTAAATGGAGTTGAAGTCACGCTGGATCACTAGCTCTTCTCTGCTACTCACCTGTTGTTAATTTTTCCACCCGCGTTTGTTGCCACAGCTGATGGAGTTCCTAAGTGATTCTAATGAGGCGGCAGCAGCTGATGTGCTGGAGTTTGTGCGAGAGGCCATCCAGAGGTTTGACAACCTTCGACCTCTCATCATTGAGAAGATGCTGGAGGTCTTCCATGCCATAAAGACAGTCAAGTAAGTGACACTACCAGTCTGCTGCTGCGTTAGAAGCCATCAAAATTTGTTGTAGAAATGTTGATGCGATTATAGTACTGTCGTGTATTTTCTCACTGTACACATTTTACAGGATTTACAGAGGAGCGCTGTGGATTCTGGGTGAATATTGCAGCACCAAGGAGGACATCCAGAGTGTCATGACGGAAGTGCGCAGATCTTTAGGAGAGGTTTGTAGAGAATTAGCTTGTCCGTATTATTCTGGGCTCCGATTTCAGTCAGCAACAAACAACATGAAAGGGTAGTGAGTTGGCCCCGTGTGCATTTTTTATTTTTTAAAAATCTCAACGTTTCCTTATAGTATGTGTAAAAATAAGATTA